GTGACGCGCGGGGGGGGGGGGGGGGGGGGGCAGAGGGGCTAGCTCTGCCCCCAGGAGCCTGCGGGCAGCGGGGTCGCTGGGGCTCTGAGCGCGGGGCAGCGAGAGAACTGGAGATGCTGGGGAGCAAGGGGACCACGCCGCTGGGCTGAGGGGACGCTGCCACCACCCACCGTACCCGCTGAAGTGCCTTAACCCCGCTGGCCCCCTGCCCACACGCTCCTCGTGGTGCGGCCGGAGCAGCTCTGCCTCCTCCGGGCGGTCGCAGGCAGAAGGGAGGGGGGCGTTTACATATTCCCAGGGTGTATGGCTCAGGGGTGCCTGCTCTGCCTCTTGTGTAACCATTTTTTGTCTATTTTGGATATTTTCTAATAAAACCAGTTAGCAGCAGCTCTGTGTGTGTGTGCTGGAGTCCTGCAGCCCACCCCTTGCCCCAAATCAGCGCGCAGGCGTGGCCATAGCAGCACTTTATTAGAGACAATGCAGCCCGAGGAGCAGCCCCAGCCTCACCGTTACTTCCACAGCTTCTTGATGGACATGTTCTTCTCGCTGTCCTTCTGCATCACCTGGGCAGGGAGGAGGAGACAGTGGGTTCCAAGCATGCAGGCCCCCTCCTACTCCCCCCGTTTGGGTGCTAATAACCTCAAAAACCACCCCCGACGCCAAGCTTCAGCCCTGCGGCCTCCAGCCCGGCTCTGGCTGTGCACCACAGCCCCGGGAAAGGTCTCCTCTGTGTCACTCGCAGCTTAAGAACTTGGCGACAACCCCTTCAACGCTGTTGTTTGTCCCCAGAGCTGACCCCCTTCAAGCTCCACAGCTCCCAGGTCCCGGCAGACGCGGCCCAGGACAGTTTGTGCCGCACCAACAGCTCCCCGTTCTGGGAGGAACCCGCCAGCAGCTCCCCCACGGCACTTACCTTGGCAACAGCCATTTCAAAGTCTTCTTGCGTGACGTGCACTCGCCTCTCCCTCAGCGCGTACATGCCAGCTTCTGTGCACACCCCCTGCGAGGGACACGAGACGTCACCCACCGCTCCCCCCTCTGCCAGCCCCGGTGCCGCCGCCGTGCCCCCGGCTCACCTTCACTTCTGCGCCCGACGCCCCCGGCATCAGCTCCGCGATCTTCCGCAGGTTGATGCCCCGCGTCAGGTTCATTTTCCGGGAGTGGATCTTGAGGATGTCCAGGCGGGCCTGGAGGAAAGCAGCAGCAGCAGAGCGAGGGTTGGAGCCACAGGAATCGCTCCCAGAGAGGGCTGGGGACAACGTGCTCCCCCCAGGGAGGACCAGGACAGCAGGCTACCAAGGGGGAGCCGGGGCCCGCCCTGGGGCACCCCACCTACCTCCTCATTGGGAGGGGGGAACTCGATCTTCCTGTCGATGCGGCCGGGGCGCAGCAGAGCCGAGTCCAGGATGTCGATCCGGTTCGTGGCCATGATCACCTGCACGGGGAGAACAACTGTCACCACTCTGGGCACCCCGCTGCCACCGCAGGGCCAGCAGGACACTGCCCTGTCCCCTACCTTGATGTTCTTGGTGGCCTCAAAGCCATCGAGCTGGTTGAGGAGCTCCAGCATCGTGCGCTGCACCTCGCTGTCCCCGCCAGCTCCCTCCAGGCTGACCCCCTTCAAGCTCCACAGCTCCCAGGTCCCGGCAGACGCGGCCCAGGACAGTTTGTGCCGCACCAACAGCTCCCCGTTCTGGGAGGAACCCGCCAGCAGCTCCCCCACGGCACTTACCTTGGCAACAGCCATTTCAAAGTCTTCTTGCGTGACGTGCACTCGCCTCTCCCTCAGCGCGTACATGCCAGCTTCTGTGCACACCCCCTGCGAGGGACACGAGACGTCACCCACCGCTCCCCCCTCTGCCAGCCCCGGTGCCGCCGCCGTGCCCCCGGCTCACCTTCACTTCTGCGCCCGACGCCCCCGGCATCAGCTCCGCGATCTTCCGCAGGTTGATGCCCCGCGTCAGGTTCATTTTCCGGGAGTGGATCTTGAGGATGTCCAGGCGGGCCTGGAGGAAAGCAGCAGCAGCAGAGCGAGGGTTGGAGCCACAGGAATCGCTCCCAGAGAGGACTGGGGACAACGCGCTCCCCCCAGGGAGGACCAGGACAGCAGGGGACCAAGGGGGAGCCGGGGCCCGCCCTGGGGCACCCCACCTACCTCCTCATTGGGAGGGGGGAACTCGATCTTCCTGTCGATGCGGCCGGGGCGCAGCAGAGCCGAGTCCAGGATGTCGATCCGGTTCGTGGCCATGATCACCTGCACGGGGAGAACAACTGTCAGCACTCTGGGCACCCCGCTGCCACCGCAGGGCCAGCAGGACACTGCCCTGTCCCCTACCTTGATGTTCTTGGTGGCCTCAAAGCCATCGAGCTGGTTGAGGAGCTCCAGCATCGTGCGCTGCACCTCGCTGTCCCCGCCAGAGCCTCCCTGGGGGGGGGGGGAGCCGATGGAGTCGATCTCGTCCATGAAGATGATGGAGGGGGCGTGTTCCCGGGCCATCACAAACAGCTCCCGCACCATGCGGGCGCCTGCGAGGAGCAGAGAGGGCTGAGCCCTGGCACCGCGCACAGCTCAGCACAGCCACAGGGCTTCCGTCTGCCCCGGACACCCCGCGAGAGGCCTGTCCCGAAGACACCCAGCACCACAAGAGCTCTCGCTGGGGCTCCGGCACAAACAGCCGCCTCCCCCCGCGCCCTTTTACCTTCGCCGATGAACTTCTGCACCAGCTCGGAGCCCGAGACGCGAATGAAGGTGCAGTCGGTGTGGTGGGCCACAGCCCTGGCCAGCAAGGTCTTGCCTGTGCCGGGGGGTCCGTAGAGCAGCACGCCCTGCAACGGCCACGTGGAGACCTCAGGACCGCTGCCAGGCCGGGCTCAGCACCCCTGTCCGTGCCTGCACAGGCAGCCACACCCCGACAGGAGACATGGGGGTGACACAGGCAGCATCACAGTGGCACCACAGAACCCCCAAATGCTGACCCCCACCGCAGACGCAGCACTTGCCTTGGGCTGGGCGATCCCCAGCGCCTCGAAGAGCTCAGGGTGCTTGACCGGCAGCTCGATCACTTCCTTGATCTCCTTTATCTGCTTGTCCAAGCCCCCAATCATCTCATAAGTGGAATCCGGAACCTTCTCCACCATCATCAGGGACACGAGAGGGTCCACTTTGTTGGGCAGGATCTTGTGCAGCGTGTAGCTGTCGTTGCGCAGGGCCACGCGGCAGTTTGGGGTCACCTGCAGCGAGAGCAGAGGGGAGCTCAGCATCCCTGCGGCAGGGAAGGGGGCAGGCAGCTCCAGGCTGCCCGGAGGGAGCGGTCGCGTCCCCTCCCACGGCCCCAGGACACTCACGTCGTTAATGTCGATGTTCTTGTCCACGTCCACCACAAACTTCCCCTCCGGGTGCACCTGGAAGGCGGCAGTTGCCACCATGAGAGTTATTTCTCTGAGAAGTCCCCTGTCGTGTGCCCAATATCCACACCGGCTGCTCGGAGCGGGAGGAAGGAGCCAGAGAGCTCAGCCACCGCCAAACACCCCGCGGCCCCTCCTGCCCCCGGGAAGCCCTAAGCCAGCTGCCTCCCACCAGCCTGCGGAAGGTTTGGGCCCAGGAGAGCCGCCGCAACGTGCTCCTCTGGAGAAAGAGCTCTTGCTTCATGTCTTTTAGTTGTTACGTCCCTCCAGAGCTCATGCTCACACTTGCTCCAACCCCCGTGGGGTCAAAGGGAGGGTCTGTCAGACCCCACCCCGCTCACCCCTGCCCTGCCCCAGCCCCGGTTGCCCTCGGGACAGCTCAGCCTCATACCTTGACGAGCACTTTCTTCTTGTCCATGGCTCTCACCACTTCTCCCACGTAGGAGCCCTGCTCCTGCAGCAGCTGCAGCTCCTCCCGCAGCAGGCGCCCGGGAGAGGGAGACACCACCCCCAGCCCCAGGCAACCCAGGCCCAGACCCCCTGCCCACGATGGTGACCAGCAGCCAGGCCAGGAGCCACCAGCCCAGCAGGTAGGACCAGCCCCAGAGCCCCGGGCAAAGAAGATGAGAGGAGCCGAGCCGTACCTTTAGCGTTCAACTCGTTTCTCTGCGCTTGCAGGCGCCGCAGATTCTGGCTCTTCTCGTTCACGATGAGCTGTTGGGAGAAAAGCTTTGCTGAGTCCTCCACGTCCCATGCAGCGCTCACATCAACCGAGCGTGGGCACCAGCGCAACGGCCTCTGTCTCGGGACAGGCACCTGGAGGGGTACAGCCCTTCCCAGCAGGACGTGGCCAGCCAAACCCCACTGCCAAGGGCTGGGCAACACCTCGCACACACGCAGCAGTGCCGTCAGCTCGTAGGACTGAGACTCATCTCATACACCCGCACCGCTCAAAAGTTGGGTCCTGCTTGTAGATACCCCCCTGGGGCACTGCTTCCTCCTCGCAGCCCAGAACAGGGCACCCGCAGCACAGAAAAGGCTGGGGGTGCTCTCGAGGCAAGCACAGGCGCAGGGACATGGCCACGCAGTCCCCCCCCGGAACCACAGCGATGCCGTTCTGGGGCAGGCCGGCTGGGCGTCTCCTGTGCAGCCAGGACTGGCTCACCTGCAGCTCCTCGATCTTGGACAGGTAGTACTGCCGGAGCCCTGTGCCACCTTTTCCATCGTCCATCTCCATCTGTGAGAGAGCAGAGCTCAGCAGCACCGGCCTTAGCCCCAAGGGTCCGAGGCCCATTCCACCCAGGGCCTCGAAAACTATCTCTACTCCCGGTCGACCTCTGCGCTGACCCTCTGGTCTCCATTTCCCCCCTCCGACCTCCCCGAGGCAGATCCTGGGTCCCCGCTTTCCCTCCCACCCACCTTCTGTCTCCCC